CCATCTCAGTACCCTCTAGGATGGGATCCATATTTGTTCTCTCTTATAACCACGTGCAGAAAGATGAAAAAGTCTACACACTCAGCAATGAAGTTCAGTGGTACAATGGCACAACAAAAGAATTCACATAATAATTTCCTTCACAATATCAATTACATAAATCTATTCAAACATTCACTTTTTCATATTTAAAACCGTCTTTGTTATTTGGTAACGAATATAGTCCATCTAGAAATATGCATCATTCAAACTTGTACAGAAGTTAATTCACAGTTCACCATAATCACATGTCATTATTAAAACTCTAGATATCACAATATTCATGATTTGTCACTCATTAGCTTTATCATAAATAATTGCACTTAACCTATTATAGGCTAAGGCCAATTTATATTGATAACAATGCTCTTAAACTATTCGTAGTCTAAAGCTAATTGGTAACGAGGCTCTTAAACTATAACACTACAAGAAAAATTGGATACAAGGACACAATTTAAGGTCGCATTATTTATGAAATGTCCTTAAAAGTTTTTTATGACACATTTTATTAAAAATATTTTTAAGGACATCAATTAAGTTTTCATTTTGAAAACTAAAATTAATAAGCCTGTCACTGCTCACTGCACCTATACGGAGGATATTTTATTTTAAAATGTTTTTAAACAACTTTTACTCTATAATTTTTAGAGCCCGGTTCCATGGCCACTGGATTCTAGTGGCCACGGAAGCCACTGCCCTCCTACGGAGCTTCATTCATAAAATTTATGATTCCTATCCCCCCAACCCCCCGGTAAACCCCCCGCCAAGTCCCGACCCAAACTAATCACCCCACCTACGTCAATTGCACCTCGTAAGTATAATTGACTTTAAAGTCAAAAGTTTTGACTTTATACTTACGAGGTGCAATTGACGTAGGTGGCGTGATTAGTTTGGGTCAGGACTTGGCGGGGGTTTACCGGGTGGGTTAGGCGGGGTAGGAATCATCAATTTTATGAACGGAGCTCCATATGGGGCAGTGGCTTCCGTGGCCACTGGAATCCAGTGGCCATGGAACCGGGCTCTAATTTTTCAAACCACGTCAGTTAGTTGTAGTTTCTTCTTAGTGGGTAATTAACCTACTGCAATTAAATTTTTTTAATAAAAAAAAGGATCCACTCCGTAATTAACCTACTGCATTTCGTTTCTAATTTTTCAGCCGCTTAGATTTTCCCTCTCTTCCTCGCACCAAAATTCTCAGCCCGCCACTGCAAAAGTCCCATTCTTCTCATTCCCGTTTTCAATTTCAATCAACTTTCAGGGCTTCTCTTCGATTCTGGCTTCCCTATTTACAATTTTTAGGGCATCATTTCAGACCCTAAAAAAAATCGAGAGACGCGAGTGCTGCGATTCACCTGTGCAATTGCATCGAAATTGCACTTCTCACCGTTCTTTGATCTCTTCTCAAAGGTTTTGCTCTACTCTTAAGTTTCTTTTTTAATCCTAGTTGCTTTTATTAGATTGTTTTCTAGAAATTTGAAGTGAACTTGTGAAATTTCATTGCTCTCATATTTTTTCTCCGTGTTAACAATTGTTTCAAAAAATTTCAATTTATGTTTAAGTACGGGATTGTTGATGTTGATTTGAGTTTTTGATTATTGTAATCTATATGGATTGTAGCCTTGGATGTTCTTTGCTCAAGTAGATTCGATTCTTTTCTTCCCTATTCACAATTCGTGGGGCTTCTTTTTAGACCCAAAAAAATTGAGAGAAGCAATTCTTTTTTTCAGACTTAAGGACGCAAGTGCTGCAGTTCGATCGATTCACCTGCAATTTTTTTAGACCTAAGGACGCAAGCGCTGCGATTCACTTGGGTGATAGCATCGAAATTGCAGTCCTCACCTTTCTTTGATATCTTCTCTAAGGTTTTGCTCTAATCTTATGTTCTAATCGTAGTTGTTTTTATTAAATTGTTTTCTAAAAATTTGAAGTGAACTCGTGAAATTTTTGGAATTTCAATGCTCTGATTTTTTTCTCTGTGTTAACAAGACTCAAAATTTTTTTCAATTCGTGTTTAAGTATGTGATTGTTGATATTGATTTCAGCTTTGGGTTATTGTTATCGATATGAAGTGTAGCCTTAGGTGTTCTCCGCTCTAGTAGTTTATAAGTAAAATTGCTACTTTGCAATTTGGTTGTATACTCACATATTATTTGAGGCTTCCTTCGAACACTTGTAGAGCCATACTTGTAAACATACTGAGACTTTGAATTCAATCATGAAACACAACTGTGTCTATACTGGCACTTTGGTACACAATGAGTTCCTTCACAAGTAGATATAATAGTTTTGTTACAAATGATTACAACAACATACCTAGTAAAGTCCCACAAAAAATTAGGGTACGAAGACCTTTTGCGGCATTGGTGTATTACCTTGACCCGTTGAGTGACATGAATGTCAATCTTGGAATGAAGAATGTTATTGAAATGTAATGAGAAATGGGTGGAGACTATTTTAATTTTATTAATACAATTTATATGCAGTGCTATGAAGATATTTTATTCTCAAAAAGGTGTACATAGTCGTAAAAAAGTACATTGGCAAGTCATTCAAGTATGTACTTTTTTGTTTTAGTTTTGGTCATGAACTCCTTACATGCAATGAACACGTAAATGTAAGACATTTCAATTCATTTTATAGTGTCCTAGTCAAACAAGAGTTTGTTGGAATACGGGTTACGCTTATGTCGTACTAAACCGTGTTTGTTTTATGACAGGTTTTGATAATGCCAAACCGCCGACAATAACAAGGCTAAAGTGAGCAAAACCAAGGCGAAGGAACATGGCATGATGATTTGAGAACCAAGAATCAAGAATCAAGAACGAAGACTTAGAATTGTATTGAGTCGGTCTTAATGTTCTTCTTAAGTTTTAAACATGCCTAAAAACACTTGGAGTTCACCCAAACCAAAAACCAAGCCATCCGGCGTTCGGGTTTCGGAAACCGGCGTTCGGCTTTCGGTCATTGGCGTTGGTTTTTGGTGTCCGAACCAACCAAGTGGTTTTCAACTCTTAATGATTGGTTTTTACTTCTGGGCATATTTAAATAGTTCTCCAACAAAAACGCCTCAAAAATCATCCTTCGTTTTTGGTCGTTTAGTGAAAACCATGCGAAACGGCGCAAACTTGGCTAGCCGTGGTTTTCAACTAAATGACGTGGTTTTCAAAATGTTTTACTTGATTTCTTAGCAAAATGCATTAAACAAACATTTTCAATACTTAGTTTTTATTTTGGAGAACTTACATTTTTTAGATTGGCTAACGGCATGACTAAACCAACCATGGGTCTAGCTAAACCAGCCAAACAGCGATGTTGGTGTAACCAACCGCGCTGTCTAGCATGGGTAGCTGAAAACCATGTTGGCGTTAAGTCTTCCAACAACGATGTTGGTTGTTGGACATCGCTGTGGAGCCAAGGTTGGGTTTCTAGAAACATCTGGAACAGCGATGTAGCCTACCCTACATCGCTGTCCAACCTAAGCCAAAACCAAATACATTGGCAGAAAGTTTTTGGACAGCGCTCTTGACCCAGCAACAGCGATGTCAGGCCATTTCTTTCACTTTCAAAGTCAGGCCTAAACAGCGATGTTCAAGCAATGAACATCGATGTAGGCACCAGACCGTTGGAAGGAATTTAAGGCTAAAACCTTCCTTGTTTGGAAGTCAACGGCCAAAACAGCGATGTAGAAGTTTTGGACATCGCTGTTGGCATGACCGTTGCTTCCCATTTTTCAAAACCCAAGCCTAGAACAGCGATGTCCAAACCTAGGACAACGCTGTGTGGGTGAATTTCAGTAGATCCAAATTTAATCAAATCTCACAAATTGTGTCAATCACCCCTTAAATGTTTTGATCCGTTGGAGCCTATTTTTCCACTATAAAATGGGGTGTTTGGGTCTGTTTTACATATCACATTACTTCACAACTCCTACTCTTTCATTGCAAATCATTCATACATTATTCATAGCTTTTCGAGAGCCATTTTTGTGAACTTCGTGTTGTGATCTTGAGCGTATTACTTTACTCATATTCACTCTTTTGAGAGAGCCTTGTTCTTGAGTGTTCTTAGTTTTTATAGACATTAAGGGAAGTTTGTTTCCCTTGGTTGTACGAAGGAAAGGTACTTTCCTTCGGGTTGAAGTTTTGGAGTGCGGTATCTCCGAGCAAGTGTTGTTGAGGCTCGTGGGACTCGAGTTCTCAGGTTGTAACGGTTTGTTAAGCACCCGTAAGCTTAACGGAAGTAGTGTAGCTCGAGAGAGTCTCTCGGGAGGCTGGATTAGCCACAAGTTGTGGTGAACCAGGGTAAATTCGGTGTGCATTTTACTCTTTTCTCTACTTCTCTTTTATTTGTTTTTAATTCCTGCGATTTCTTGATCAAACGCTATTCACCCCCCCTCTAGCGTTGGTCTATTATTCTAACAGAGTTGAGGAGTCTGGATATTACGTCATGAAATACATGAAAGATATCATTTGAACTTCAATCAATACAATTAAAGATAAGGTATGCACATATATTAACTTATTAGTTGGATTAAATTTGCACTACCTTGCTAAAACATGACCTTAAACCTGGGCTACAATTGGCTTACTTTTGGCTAAAACATGACCTTAAAGCTGGGTTGCTGTTGGGATGCTTTTGGCTTAGTTTTATTTTTAATTTTTTGTAGCAGCAGCTTGAACCTAGCTAGTTTGTTGGAGATTATTCCTAAGCTAGTATACTACATACGGAGTACTATAATAATAATAAGAATAATACTAATACTAATAATAATAATGCTCAATTTTTATTATACAGTACAATATATTTAGGGGAGAAGAACATTTGTAATATAGTACTGAGTAATGGTACTGTAAGTATATATTAATTAAGTTAATTAGTTTTTGGTGGTAGAATTTACTCTATATGGTAATTAACCAATGTAAATTGTCTATATAAGAATACCATGTTTTCTATTACAAGTTATACTAACATATTGATTAAAAATATTTACCATTATTATTTCAGTTCAAGGAAAAAGATTCATACACTCAAGCAGAGATTGATGAAGTTCGAGTAGAGTGGGCAGAAGTGGTTAACTCATACATCCAAGCAAATGAAGTCTAATAATTAGCATATTTATATTTGAAATAACATAGATGGAGATATGTATATATGATCGAGATCGATATGATGCCACATGCGGTGGTTTTTTTATTTATATATTACTCTATAATCGCAGATGTTCATGAGTGAGGGGGAGGTGGAGAAAGATGTGGATGCTTATAAAGTGGTTTCTGATGCTCTGGATTATGGGTGGAGCTTAACCAATCCATGCGATGCTGATATGGTGAGTTTATTGATGCCTGATTCAGATTTATTCATGGGTTGTTGTTATGTTTATTTATACGATATGCATGTAGTGTTGCAATGCATGATATATTGTGAACTGTGCAGATAATTTTTCCAGTAATGAAACATCGTTGGTGTTATTGCATATGTGTGAACCTGAAAGTGAATAGGGTTGATATCCTTGACAGCTCATCGGCTGGTGTGGCAAAGATTGATAAGTATGATGAAATGCCAAACGTTGTGGTAAGTTCTAATTACTAGCGCATGGACCATATTTTTTTATGCGTAAAAAGGGAACATATATATGAAATAAGAGAAATGGAAAAGTCGGATGAGAAGATACGTATTTCAACAATGTAATGTTTTATCATTCTTTTTATTGCAGCGAAACATGGTTGTTAAGTATTTTGAAAATAAAGGTATGGATGGTCGGGTGGAAAAGGTGAAGGCACAACAGCCAAAACGATTACAACTACCGTGGAGGGATTCGACTGCCGTATTTGATTATGGTGTGATCACAATGCGCCATATGGAGACGTACACGGGGCAGACATTGAAGCGGTGGGACTGTGGTTTGAAAAAGGGGGATGGAAAGGCGGTGAATGCACTTAGGACAAAGTACTGTGCTGCAATAGTCGAATCAGATGTGAACGGGGTTAGGGAGAAGATTAGGCAGTTGGTGAAGCACAATACTGGATGAAGACTGCATGGGGATGAGAAATTAATGTTTTAATGAGTGACTTGGCATGGGGATTATGATCTGTTTGTTTTATGTTTTTAGGACTTGCATTTGGGTGACATTTTGATGTTTTTGGTTTGGTGCATAGCCCCTGAATGAGTCCATCACTGGCTTGTTCATTTTGCTAGATGGGGTTGAATTATTGCTCAGAATGAGCGTAGTTAGTAATATCTTTTATTATTTAAAAAGAATTCTTGTTTAAAAATTATGGGCCGTTAGTGATGTTTAGTCAACATTTATTTTGCAAAAGTAATTAGGTAATACCTGGCAAGTTTATGAAAGTCATTGATTAGCGTAATCAGCGATTGGATAATATTTCCATATGTGTGTTGATTGTGGTATTAAACGTGAATGCACGGTGCTCTTGCATTGGTGTACGTGTATGCGTATTTTAGTGCAGTAGTATTGAGTTATTTTTCGAGTGTTTGAGGGAGCATTTGATTAAGGAGAAGGTAAATAACTTCTTGCAGGGTAAATAGTGTTTTGGTGCGGTTTGGAGGTGTTTGAATGCAACGTAAGAGTTCTTTATAGAGATGTGGTGTTGTTGAAAGTTGTGATTTGGGACAATGGTTAAACGAGATTCTGGACACATTTGGTTAATAAACGAAAATAGGAAGAACGAATGGGTGATGCTTTTTAACACTCATAATCCCACGTTATTTTACGAGTATCCAAAGTTTATATAAAAGTAACTATTAAGGCGTTTCATTCGTGTTTCATGTAAGGTGAAGTGTGTGAGGCAATGTTGGAACATAAGTCTAACTTTTGATGATGTGGAGATACGTACAATGCATGAATTGATGAATAAATTATTTCATTGGTAATCAAAATTGGAGTAATATACAAGTAATGGGAAAAAATTAAAGGAGAGGGGGGGCCCTTATATGGGACACATGAGTCCATTTTGCGCTAAAAAGATTCAACAAAAAAATATTAAATGTTTGTAGGAAAAAAGTAATATTATGTCAAAGTATTCATCGGACAATTTCTACTATCGTGATAGGCCAGCTCTTTGCAAGTTTGACACAAGCGTTTGTTCTTCTTGCTTTGTTCAATCTGGAGCTCTTTAGCACTCTTGATGCGCTTACCACTACCCTTGTTGTGAGCTGGTTGAGGTGGAAGCACTTTAATCACTGATGGAGCGGGAACACCACAGTAATTTTCAAAGAGGTTAGGTTCTCCAGTACCTGCATCCTGGGAGGAAACAACAGATTGAATGAGCTCCTTTTGTTCAGTAATTACCTTGGAGAAAGCACATAATAACTCGGGGTTATTTTCAATGAGTGCAACACAAGAGTGAATGTTAGACCATAGGCGGTTGAGCATTAATTTGTTTTCGTCAACGGATGATTCCGAGGTAAAGTCCAGGCCAGAAACATCGATCAGTGGCTTCAGGAGTGGTGTTTTGCACCATCTATTGGTAATATTTGCAAGACCCTAGTCAAACTAAGAGTCAGGGAACTTGTGGTTCTTATACACTGCCGTGTCGTCTGGTTACGCGACGGTTATAAATGTACACGTCTTCTTTCTCGCTTCTAAGGTTGAATGTTCAACGTTAACAACCATATCTCGGGAATCCTGCACAACAAATGTTAACGTATGCTCCTTCTTGTCCACCTGTAGCACACTGCACGAGAAGCATGATGCACATATCTCTGTTTGTACTTCGTAGAAGATGCTCAGAGTGTAGATGGATGCTGCATGTTTCTCAATTGCAAGCGGTGTTTTATAAACAGGGGCGCATGCTTCTGAATCTGCATCCAAGTCTGCAGTTTTATGTCGTTGGGAGTCCATAGCACTTTCAAATTGCATATAGAACTCGACAAGAGTGAAGAAGGTATTTTTGAAATCACCAAAAAAGCTATTCTCGCTCTCAGAACGTGATGTTGTGCGTAGTAAACCAATCATGAACAAATCCCTAAAGTATGCGGGAATCCAGCTTTTACGAATAGCAAAAAGATTGCAAAACCATGAATCAGAATCCAGCTCATAATCAACTAATACCTCATGCCATTGTTTTTCGCAGTCTTCAGGCTCGAGGTAATGACTCCATATTACAGAGTTTAACCTTGTCAAAAAGTCCTGATCTTTTGCAAGTTCATTGTCAACTTTGGACGTAATTTTGTTGGTAATATGCCACATACAGAGACGATGGACTGTGTTTGGGAAAACCTCTGGAATAGCAATAGCCATAGAAGCATCTTGGTCCGTGATTATGCATTGCGGTGCATGACCCATTGCATCAAGAAAGCGATTGAACAACCATCTGTACGAAGGAACATCTTCTCTGCGCAGCAGACCAGCTGCAAAGGTTACACATCTACGGTGATTATCTACACCAGTAAATGGTGTAAAAACCATTTTGTACTTGCACCACAAGAAACACACCCATAACCAAACTAGTTCAACCCCTGAAAACATGTTTATAACGCTAGAAATAATACTTAAGCAGTGCATCAAAGGCATAACGTGCTGCATTAAAAGAATATACCTATTTGTGTTGAAGGTTGCATCAAATGAAATGACATCTCCAAACATTGCGTAGTTCTTCTTAGCAATAGGATCGCACCAGAATACCCTAGTTAGCTGGTCACTCTCATCAACATCATAGTCAAAATGGAATGCAGAGCATGTTTGTTTCTTTCTGAATAGTTTGTCAATGAGCATTTGAGCATCAGCGCCTGCAATATATGCCTTTAAGTCTCGTTTGAAATTTTTGAAGTCAATTGCAGTGGCACCCACATTATTAAAGCCACCAACTGATTCCTTAAACAATCGGTAGGACTTCATAGGGCCAATGTTCGCCTTTGCACAATTCAACATAAACTTCTTGTGGCCAATTTCTAGATTTCTGTTGATTTTCAAAAAGGGCCTAGATTGCAGGGACATCATGGGATGGTTCAATGAATGATGATATGGAGTAGCCTACACCACCCGTGAGCCTAAACGCCACACGCGCCTTGCAATCAACACGATTGGAAATGCGTCTCCTCTGTTTTGCCTTGGGCAAGTCTCCATCGTCGTGAGTGGGTTTGTTGCAGGTTGATGCAAAATGCTTATGACCTTCGCGGTTGCATACAACGTACCGCCACACAACAACACCCGAAACCTTCAAATTGGTGCTTTTACGAATGTCAAAACCTGCCAATGCAGCATATTGCTTGTAAAAATTAAATCCGTCCTCTAAGGATTGGAATACCATTCCCACTTTGGGCTTGGCCTCTTCAGGGCAGGCAGGAATAAATAAGTTGGATGAAGTCGAAATAATTTCTGTTGCATGTGTCGGGCCTTCGCTTGAAGTCATAGGTGTGTACCCTGGCCATAATCGACGGAGGAAGGTTAGCTAAATGCATTACGTAATTATAATTATGTAATACAGGATTCAAAAAAGCGAACTAGAAGACATATGTATGAATAAATAAACACAGAAGGTGAGAAATGACATGAAGCGTAATTTCATGAAAGTGGCCGCAATTGACGAACAACAAAGAGAAAAGAGAACCAGCAAAAGACGAAATGTAGTCCACCAAAAAATAGTTACAGACATTACCAATACCTTTTTGAAGCATTGTTGAATTGGGTAAGCATGATCAGTTGTGGGGGGTCATTTTGATGCAGTAAGCATGGTCAGACGATGGGGGTCATTTAATGCAGTATGCAGACATGATGATACAATACAAAATGCATGAAATGCATAAAGAAATAAAATATAACCCTTTTTAGACATAATGCATACAAAAATATATGGGTGCAGTGTTTCATGAAGCTGTACTTAGTTTAACCAGCAACCTTTGAAACGATAACCCCATTAAGAAAAATTCTAAATCCCAAAGAAATTTCTAAGTAATTTCACAATGAATGTAAGCGCATCCATGGATCTAACGAACTGGAGAGGCTAGTGAAATTTACATACCATGGTTACGTAATTGTAGACAAAATCTTAGTGTTTTTTGTGTTTGGACCTTGGTACTATTTTCTAGCTCGTCGTTTCGGCGAGGGTTAATGCCGGCTTAACCTCCAATCGTTCTCAAACCATTTATTCCCATATCATATCTCTAGAAAGGTTAGAGAGAAAATGGGGAAAGTGAATCAGATCGTGCGCGAGAAATCAGGGATGAGAATGCCTCGCGATGGTTTCCGTTTGAAGGAAGTGCCGTAAAGACTTCTATGCCCTGGCGATAAGATTGAAAACTCATCAGATCGGACGGTTTATAAGTACTCTTATTTCTTTCATTAGATCTCTTTCTCACCGGAACCAAACTCTCTCTCTCTCTCTCTCTCTCTCTCTCTCTCTCTCTCTATATATATATATATATATATATATATATATATTACATTATATATTATATTGTGTACATTTTATTTTGGAGTGTCATTTTAATTATGAAAATAATTATTTTGACAAAAACTATTTTAAAGTATATTTTATATACTTGTGTTAAAATGTTTTGGGTATTTTATTTTATATCATACAAATTATTGATGTCAAATAAAATAAATTTTAAACATTTGAGAGGAGAAGAAGTAAATTCTTCCCCCCTTTTTTTTTCGTACCATGCGTGACCTTGAGTGTGTGGGGGCTTTGTCTCCCACTACACTTCATTATGTGTGTGCATTTGTCCTTTACCAATTGTATATGTTTATATATTATTCTTTTAATATTATATAACACATGGATTTTTCTTCACTCCATAGGAGTGTTCGGCCAAGTTGAAGAGAAAGAGGGGAAAATAATTTTGAGTTCCAAAATTATTATTTTGGGTGTAGAAAATTGATATAATATTTTCCTTTAAATATTTCTGATATACTTTCTACCATTTCATATACAAGATTTATATTATCCCTGAAATAATCTTTATATTAAATATACTATTATAATCTTTACTAGCATAAAGATTATAGTAGACTTCGGAGATTGTTCGTGTGTCAAACTTGGAGGCTGGACGCTTGAACGGCTACGTTTCACTATGCCAAAAAAGGTGTCAGACGACTGTTGATTAACTACTGCTTATGGAAAAACAGTAGTTAAAAAAATCAAACTACTGTTTGTTGTTGTTGGCTACAAAAGTAGTAGTCTAGCTATTATGCTTAAAACTATTTTTAAAGTTTCGAGAAATAGTATTCTAATATTAGTTGTAAAACTGAGGTAAAACTGAGGACCAACAGGAGGAATCAACACCCACGCTGCTCAAATCCATACTCCAATTTCCAAAACAAAATCAGCTCAAAATACGTGAGGTGAAGGGATGCTACTGCCCAGAATCCAGTAGCACTTCCTTTCATCCATGTGCAGTCCAAAACATCTTTCCAAGTCCAAAACAGCTACTCAAGCACTTTTAGCTCCATTTCCCAGCCCAAACGTACAAATGAACATAGAAATGGCAGTTTTCCAAGGCCAAAACAGCAGGATCTCCTTGGTCAGACCGGTGGTTTTCAAATCTTCAGCCCCTCCTACCCAAAACAGAAACTTTCAAACAGAATTGTGCAAAATAGAAGCTCCAAACCAGCTGCAAAATCAGGGCAGCAACTTAAGCATTACCAAAAAATACTGCATGTAATCCATATGCTGCCCACAACCACTTGTGGGTCAGCAACAATCCTAAACATTCTCCCAAAGTAAGAAGGTCCTTCCACCAAGCCCAGTCATACCCAAGGCACCACCAAGGCACAAAGTTACTAGTTCCCTACCCACCATCAATTTCCAAACAGACCACAATGTCAAGGCTTCAACTCAGTCCTTACCTCATGCAAATGAAGTAAGGTATGACATAGTTGAGTCTTCCGGAGGTTGAGTGAGGGGTGGGATGTTCACCAAGACCAGGCAGCCCATTCACCAGGTAGCCACTGTCCAACCCCACATAACCTTGCCCAAAGTCACGGACAAGGTCACCCAAAGATGAACAGCGCAGAATGGGCATTTACAGTGCAGGAAACTTTCAAGTTTCATCCCAAGCAGCCATAGCACTTCCAAACCATTATCACATTCCATTGGCAGTGGGCTGCTGTTCATGCTCAAACCAAACCAAGCATCCACTGGTTTTGTGGCAAAAAACCTATGCAAAGGCCTACCCAAAACCCACAAACACAGCAGGCACTACACATGAAATCCACGAGCTAAACAACCTGCCATTTCCAGGGATAAAATGTAAATTATTAATATCCAAGAGTCAAAACAAAGTACATCTACGAAGTAAACATACAATGCATCGGGGCATACCCCTATAAAATCAAAAATAGAGTGCACATACGCCAAGGCACGCACACCCAATCAAAAAACATGAATAAACAAGTACAAGCATAAGGAAAATGAAAATCACATAGAGACATGATCATCACCATCGTCAAGGCCCATCCTCGTCATCATGCATCGTCATCCGCAAAGGAACATCAAAAGGTAGGATCGTCGTCATCAAAACTCCGAAGGTAGCACCACCGGATTGAGAGCTCAAGGCCTGTCCTCATCAACATGCATCATTGCTCAAAATATCCTCCGAAGGTATGGAATCCTTCATCATTGGAACATTCAAGCGTCCGTGGTCATTAGAGCTTTGCTAATCATCAAGACACCAAAACCGGAGGGTCACAAGCATTAATTCCTGCCACTGCATCAACATATCCCTCAGCAATGCTAGGATCGTCAAGTTCACCCCCAATTTTGAAATATCTTACCCATAATCCAAGGAGCCACCATTTCCAATCGCCAGAGGAAGCCTCGGCCGTACAAGGACAGCGTGACGAATGGTACTAGTATCCCACATCAGACCGGGTATGAGATCGCAAAGCTCTTGCAAAAACATGGCCCAAAAAGATAGCCAAGGTCAAAGGTGAAATGGTGGGAACAGCCATTCATATGTCCTTCTCCTCCCCATAAGGTCACAAGGCTCAACAATTCGAGGTCCCTTTAATGGTGATAAAACATTGGAGTCTAGGACTCAACAATGGCTTCTCAAAGTAGTTTGTGTTTCCAAGAAGACAACAAGATATAACATAGGAGTTAAACCCCCACAAGTTGAGCATGAAACCTCATTCCATAGCATTAGCCAAAGTCACACATGACAGCCCATAAACTGAGCAAGAAGACACCCAAGGCAGCAGCCCAGGTTAGTGTTCACCACACAGTGTAGAGGTTGACAGAGACAATGACCAAGCCACCATGCCAAGAGTAATTCATCAAGTGAAATTCAGCAAACCAGTAGCTTTTCCCACCCAGAGACAACCTCAATTAACCCATGATTCAGCACTACAAACATCAAGTAATAAGGCTGCCCAAGACCTGCCTTAAACACCAAGTATGAATGCCAAACAGAGACATGAGGGGCCTGGGCAGTGGTAGACCAAACCGAGGCAGAAGAAGATCATCCAGTACACAAGGGAGAAGGTTGTCCTGCCAGCAACCTATGCGTGCCATCCCCATCCCTCAAGAAACTTGAGTTCAGCGAGCAAACTACAAACCAACACCAGGGTCTGTTGTTTGAAGATGGCAGCCCGGAAATCAAAGATTTCCAATCCCAATCATGGTCCAGCCCCAATTCAAGTACAGTTCACCTTACAACAAACAAAACACATACCCATATGCCAAGCAAACCACAACAGGCAGCAGCCTCTGGACAGTCCCAAATGAAGAAGATGAAACAATACATTGAATGAAGAGTATGACCAAAATGCACCAGAGAGTCAGTCCACATTCAATCAGTATAATGCTCAAACATCAAAGCAAACCAGCATAAGCAACAGCCCAAACCAGTAGCACAGCCGCAGAGAAAAACCAAGAACATGAACAGTAGTTCGAGCAACCCAAAATCAAGAAGACCAACTCAAGTTATGTGAATCAAAAATCCAACAATAGACATTGAAAGGCCCCTGAAAAACGAAGTTAAAGACAAAAAATTGGGAGCAGAAAGAGGCAGCAACTGGGTAAAACCTGGAGTTCAAATTCGCACTGTGAACAGTGCATTCGAATCCAAATAATGCTCAATTCGCAAAGGTCTTCAATTGGAATGATAATCCGACTTCAGGCCTTGATTAAGCATCCCAAGCCGCTCCTAAACCCCCAAAAATTAGCCATCAAACGTGCTAGAAACGAGGCCAATTGAAATTTTTATGTTCGTCGATGAACTTCAACCTGCCATTTCCAGTCACCGCACAAGGTTTCCAGACCTAATTGCGAAATGAGGGGCACAATGGCACATATTAGGCCGCCAATGAAAAATATGGAGGGATTCTAAAATTTGAGATGAACTTTGAAAATTTTTAGAATCAGCACTCTGATTTTAGTTTTTTGGTTCATAAATTTTCTACTCTTATGTACCACTTTAATTTAGGGGTACATTTTTTTGTTAATTGAATTTTTTACTCACATGGATCCAATTTCTTAAAATTCCACAAGATATCCATATTTTTGACCGTATAACATCATACCGGTACTGATAACTAAATTACTTACTAGCATAGTTCCAATTTGGCTGATCAAATCTTTAAATTCATCAGATTGGATATAGTTAGATCGAATTAGACCAAAACAGGTCTAAGCGGATCAAATCAATTAGGTGTGATCTAATGCATTTAAAGATTAGATTCGGCAAATAGGACATAACGTAGAGAAGTATATAGATCTTTTTGAAGATTTGTTCTGGACTTATTGGATATGAATTTGATTTGATCCAATTAGATATGTTTTTGTCTGATTTGATCTGATTAGGTCTGATCTAATGCATTTAAAGATTATATCAATCAACTAGGACACAACCTATACAAGTAAATAGATTCCTGTGAAAGTTTGATCTGATCTTATTACATTCAAAACTCATTTGATCTGATTAGATCTGTTTTGGTCTAATTTAATCTAATTAGGTCCGATCTGATGCTTTTAAAGAACTAGGACACAACGTATACAAGTAAATAGATGTTTTTAAAGATTTGATCTCATCTTATGGGATTTGAATTTCATATGATCCGATTACATCAATTTTGGTAAGATTTGATCTAATTAGGTCCGATTTGATGCATTTAAAGATTATATTAGGCAAATAGGACACAACATATACAAGTAAATAGATCTTCTTTGAAGGTTTGATCTGATCTTATTATATTCGAATTTCATTTGTTCAGATTAGATCTATTTTGGCTTAATTCGATCTAATTAGGTCAGATCAGATCCTTTTAAAGATTACCTAAGGAAAATAGGACACAACCTATATAAAAGTTTAAATTTTCTTAGAAGATTTGATCTGATCTTATTGGTTTTGAATTTGATTTGATCCGATTAGATCTGTTTTTGTCCAATTTGATCTAATTACGTACGATCTGATGCATTTAAAGATTAGATCAGGGAAATATAGGACACAACATATACAAGTAAATAGATCTTTTTGAAGATTTGATATGATCTTATTGAATTTGAATTTGATTCGATCCGATTAGATCTGTTTTGGCCTAATTCGATCTAATTACGTCCGATTTAATGCCTTTAAAGATTAGATTAGGCAAATAGGACACAACCTATATAAGTGAATAGATTTCCTTCAAGTTTTAATATCATCTTATTGGATTTGAATTTGATTCGATCCGATTAGATCTGTTTTGGCCTAATTCGATCTAATTAGGTTCGATTTAATGCGTTTAAAGATTAGATAAGGCAAATAGGACACAACCTATACAAGTGAATAGATTTTCATATTGGATTTGAATTTGATCCGATCCGATTAGATCTGTTTTGGTCTGATTTGATCTAATTTGGTCTGATTCAATCTAATTAGATCCGACATGATGCATTTATGGATTAGATCAATAAAATATGACACGACATATACAATTAAATTGATTTTTTTAAATATTTGATCTGATCTTACTAGATTTGAATTTGATTTGATTCGATATTTTTGAAGATTTGATTTGATCTTATTGGATTTGACTTTGATTTGATCCGATTAGATCTGTTTTTGTCCGATTTGATCTAATTACGTACGATCCGATGCATTTAAAGATTAGATCAGGGAAATAGGATACAACATATACAAGTAAATAGATCTTTTTGAAGATTTGATATGACCTTATTGGATTTTATTTTCTTATGAAGAATGGTACATTTAACGTGTAGTAATGAAAGTATATTAAATAATTTCATTTTGATGTAAATAATATAATTGATTACTACCTCCGTCTCTGAGTATTTGTCCAGTTTTGACTTTTTTCGGTCAACTGTTTTCAATCTTGACCTATAATTAAATAAAATATATATTGTATTTTAATTAAATAAAATAATATTTTGAAGATATTTGGTATAATAAATCTAATACTCCCTCCGTCCTATAATGATCTTCCCGGTTCATTTTACGAAGCTGACCGACTTTATTTTCAATTCAATTTATTTGATTGTAGATGTAAAATTAAAAAATAAAATTTATATATTTAAAAACTACATCAAAAGTTCTACAAAACAAGTGGTGACAAAACTATATTATTTTATCAAATACCTAATGAAAATAGGTAAAGAAGGTGATTAAAATTTGAACGGGTAAAAAGTATGTGGAAAGAACACTATAGGACGGAGGGAGTAAAACTCTTTTTGTATCAATATCTAATAACATTTTTATTTAATTTGAGATCAAAGTTTACCGATTTTAAATTAAAAAAGTCAAAAGTGGACATCTCTTCCGCTTTCCTTTGCCATCTCCGTTCACCAATGACATAATGGAAGCAGGAGTTTCTCTATCTAGGGTCTGGTTCGCTGGGCACGTTTCCTAGGGCTACTATTCACTGCCGTAACTAACCCATGCTTTCCTCTTGAATTTGTTGGATTTTTGGTGCGATCCTTGGAGCTCTAGGATCGTTTTGGGCAGGGCAACTCATTTCTCAGCTCAATTTGACGTTTTGGAAGCTGTATTGGGCAAGAATCGCAGGTCAACCCTCACGGGTCACTGTTCACCTGCGACCTTTGAATGTTGAATTCACCTCGGTTCAAGATTGTTTGAAGGCAGATTTTTGGGGGATTATGGGCGACATGGGATTCTCTCTCAACACCTTAGATTGGATTTCCATTCCAATTCAAAGAGATTGCGATTTGAGCAAAATTTGGGTTCTTCGTCACTTTTCACCGCGCTGAATTGAACCCCAGGTTTACCCATGTTTCTGGCTTGATTTTTCTCCCATTTTTTGGTATTGTGGTCGTGACTTAAAGGCCTTTAAACATATGGTGTTGGATTTTTGATTCACACAACTTGATTTGGTCTCATTCATTTTTGTTGCTCGAGTTACTGTTCATGTTCTTGGTTTATCCTGTGTAGTGTGCTCTACTGGTCTGGGCTGTATTGGGCTGGTTTTGCTTGCTGTTTGAGGGTAGTACTGATTGAATGAGGGTATATTTTTGCTACTTAACTTTAAAAACATGTGAAAAAT